GGCATCAAATAGAAGTCTGCAGTACAGCGAGCACTCTGTCTGAGCTACAAAATGCTAAATTTACGACACAACCACCTGCAACCTGTGGAATCACCCTACTACAGTACAACATATCAACTATCAAAGCAGGGTTTCTTAAACAACCACCCAGTACTCAAGGCATGCCCATCCTTTCGTCGCTTCAAATCCCACCGGCTACGTAGGGGATCTCACGTCTAAATATTCACTGAAATCCCCTTATGTCGATATAAGCAACAGGGTTTTTCAATTAACAGGCCTCTCATTCTTCCGTCTTACCAGGCACATTTTTGTCCGTAAGGCTAGCTAGGCAGGTTCTTTACTTAAAAAAGAAGATGGGCTCACCGGAACAGGTTTACTTAGGTGCTGACGTTTCGAAGTGCTTGCTCGGCTCTCCACTGATAAAGCGTAAAATGCACTTAATCGACCAGAAATCCTAAGTGGCGTGTCACGTTGGTCGGCCTCGTGCTGATCGATTTCGTTCTCTCCTCTCGCTGCCTCGGCCTCTCGGGCGATGGTTGACGGGCGTTTTGTCTACGTCCTTTGTTAATCACCACGCCGTCAGGGGAGGTGATTGAACAAATGTCGGATGGTTGGTCTGGCGGTTTTTGTTTTTCTTCACCGAGTGAACTCGCCATCAAGCTGTCTCCGTATGGCCTTCTTAAGTCCGGTGTGGTTGTTTGGTTCTGAGCTCTACGATTGTCATGACGTAGGACTTTTTAAACTGCAGGAAGGTCCAGATGCCTGTTAATTGAATGGGCACCAAAAAAACCATGCCTCGAGAGTTAGCCGCTCTGCTTTTGTTTTGCCCCGGTCTGAGATGGTAGCTCGCTGGAGATCGAAAGTATGCCCAGTATCTCCAAGGGGTGTTGCTAATTGAGAATTTGGGTCTAACTTCCGAGTAGCTGATTTGTGTAGGTGAGTCTACATTTTCCGTCCGGTCTCTTCAACATAATTGCAGTCGCCTTCATTGAAATTTATTTTTAGATAACTGCTGAGGTTTCGGCGGCTGGCAATGGGTCCTTAGGTAGCATCAGACGGCGTCGGATTTTTGCCTGGGTTCAATGGGCTATGCCTACTTTGACAGGTTGTTACAGTCAAGAGAACGCTCTAGAGATCCCTTTAACGTAGGGAATACCCCCTTCAGACTTCAGGTTGTTGCTCATTTGGCCGTCGTCTGTGCGCCCGACGTCTGGTTCTCTCGATAAAGTGTCTGACAATGGGGAGCCGACCAAGCTCTTCAAAACGACACCATGTAAATGAACCTGTCCCGGTGAGCCCATCATCATCATCATCATCATCATCATCATCATCATCATCATCATCATCATCATCATCATCATCATCATCATCATCATTTTGTCCTCCTTCAAATAATCAACCCGGATCTCTCAAATTTGCCCATCTGAACAGCTCCTTTAATTATCCAACGATTCCTTTATCATACACATGCATTTAATACCCCACTCCTTCTTCTACGAGTGTCAAGGATGTTGAAAAGTCAGCTCCAAGATCGGGTGCATGTTTGCGCTTGTGCGAAGCAAGACAGATCACGCGTCCCCGCGTGATGTGGTCGCATCCAGATGATTAATGGAGTTTTGGTGAATGATAGTTCACGGGGAATTTTCCTGGGCTGTCAGCTATGCTTTTGAGAGTCTACATCTATGATTTGCAAATTTGGCGCCTTTGACTTTTTTCGAGTAACAACAGCAATTTTTTTGAAATCATACCCTATGCCTATGTGTAAACTGTTTGCCTCTATACTTGAACCGAGTAGTTTATTTTATTTTTTTAATTGCATAGTTCATTTTTTGGCGGCAGCCTTGTCAGCAGTTTCAGTTCATTTACTGCATTTAATTTTCCTCACTTTTTCACACAAAAAACGTAATTGCCTTTTGTTAAAGAGACCAGGGAGATCATTTCTGGTTTACTTTCTCTCATCAGCCAGCCTCGGTCGAATCATAGTCGAGGAAAACCCAGATTAGAGCATAGCGATCGTCGTTCACTTAGTCATGCGCTCTACATTGAGACCATCAGATTATGCTCGCTGTGCCACCCTCGTTATTATGTAAATTCACAAATTAACGGGACTAAAGGGGCCTCATTCTACCTGTGGGACTGTATGCCAGCAATTGGCTTCTATTCTGGGCGGCCAGTCAGTTGTTTAGGCAGAATTTTTTAATTTGACAGGGCAGCGTATTTTTTGTTTTTTTCCCAAGCTATTTCTTTCCCGACACTCAAACAGCTTGCTTTATTCCCCTTTTTTATATCGTACTGGCTTAAATGTATATGCGACTCTCACTAAATAAGGAAAATACAGCTTGTAAGCTGGAACGTCTAAGCACGATTTCAAGAGCATGTGGGCCAAAAAATGGGTTGATCAATTTACAATATTCTTTGAAAACATTAATTGCCCTTTTTTTCAGTAGAACATTTTAAGGTCATGTATTTTTCCAAAAGTGCACAGAATAGGCTATTTTTTGTGCAGGCTTTATACAATTTGTGTTTTAATATCGTTTAACATATCATGAGTTGTATCACCTACCGTTTGTCTAGCACCGTTTTTTGTCTTGGTAATTATCGGCAACGTTCTACAACACTGTTTTCAGTCAGTAGTTTTCAAACTGTCTTTTACAATTGTAGTTTTGATTTCTGCTGTACCCATCAGTTCCTCAGTGAAGTGGGGTTTGGCCTACTTCACAAGTAGAAGTGAGTTTAGTCTGCCACTGATCGTGACTTGCTTTTGCCCGTTCAAAGCCCCTGGCTGAGTGCCACAAACATTTGACTTTGCTCGAACTCTTTTTATTCCTCTAGGTGGTAGACCTAAAATTAGCAGTTCTTCCACAACAGCCTAATGAGAGCGGAACCCGTCATGTTTTTGTTTATCGTAAAATACCCGTCATCAGCACATAAAGTCAATGACCGACCTCGTGAAGTTTTAACCAAAACTATAAAAGGCATTTTTTTAATTTGGAAAGGTTGCGTAAGTTGGATTGCAATAATACAACGCTATCCCAAAATATTACAAGCATGCCAGGACTTGGGTTTTTTAATGCTCATTTAGCGAAATTTTAGAATAATTCGGTCACAGCAGGTTGACGGCTCTTTAACGCACTTTTTTCGGTTTTTTTAAAGAATCACTCAATTAAAAACACCCAACGAATCATTAGGCCATTTGACCATTAGCCTGGATCTTCCTATAAATTAAGATTCATTTTGCGAATTTTCTCATGTTCCATTTGAAGAATCAAGTCATCAAACATATGTTTTTGGTAGTTATCATCAAATGAATAGCATGCACAAAAACATACTCCCTTGTTCTCTTTCGTTAGCACAGTTACAAATCATATCTTGAAATATAGCACTTGATGCAGGAATATATTCCTGTTCTTAAAAAACTTCTATTATCTGACTTTGAAGGCCGTAAAATATGCATTTAAACAACATCGTGTCTGTTCGTTTATAAATGCTCTTTTTGAAGTATGCAATATACTGCACAAACCTTAAAAATATTGTGAGCCGTATGTTGACATAGTGAAATATGTAATTTTTTGCATATGGAAAGGTTATCGGCTGTAGACTGTACACGTTAGGCGTAAACGAATTGGCAGATTGTTCACAAAATAAGACGAGACTTAATAAAATGTTAAACCCCAGAAATAGGCTTGATTTGAGCCTACAGTCTGAAGCCGTGATAATCAACAAAAACAATACAAGGAAGGTTATATTGTGCCGAGGCGCCAGACTATCTTGCCTTTCCCTACCTGTTCCTCATTCTTGAACTTACTGGTTGTTTAACTGAATGGAATGAACACAACTCGACGCGACGCGCTTGACATGAGTGGGATTGTCAGGTCGTTTGATTTTTGATTATTAATTCTTCCATAACTCTGGTCTTATCCTGATTTTTATAGTCTGGGATTGACGGTTCTGTCTTTGACGCTCGCTACAGTGGTGACCCCTTGACGTTCACGCTTATACATTTAATTAGTCGACTTCCAATTTGCATACCGCCCGTTTGCCTTCTTTCTTTCTACAATCATGTCCTCTACGAATTCCAATGATCCCACTTCTTCTCTCAGTGGACTTGTTTCTTCCCTCCCAGACTTTTGGCAACATGCGCCAGAGCTTTACTTTTTCCGTATTGAGGCGACTTTTCACTCCGCCAAGATAACACGTGAAACCGACAAGTTTTATAAGCTGGTCGAGGCCCTCCCTCCCACCATTCTTTCTCAAGTGCAAACGCTTCTGAGAGATCCCCCGACTGATGCTCCTTACACCAAGTTAAAGGCTGAACTTCTTCGCCTGACATCAGTCTCCGATCGGCAGCGTTATCACGCACTAGTAAAAGAGGGGGCCTTAGGTGATCGCAAGCCGTCGGAACTCTTGCGTCGCATGCGTTCTCTGGTTGGGAACAGGCCGTAAACTCATCCCCCATTACAACCTTTGGATTTCGATCCCTCTCCCTGAATATCGGCCTCCGGCGATTATTCCCCTGGATATTTGTGGTTGCTGATGTTCCCACTGCTATCCTTGGTGCTGATTTTTTGGCCGCCTTTGACCTTCTGGTGGATTGCAGACAACTTCGCCTCCATGATCGCGCAACTCCCCTCAGTGTCGAAGGATTTCCTCCATCCTCAGTTTCTAGACAGCTCTCCGTCCTTGACCCAAGCCCTGACTGTCCATTTCGTAGACTTTTAGCAAAATATCTTAGCCTTACTAAGCCCCATTTTTCTGACACCTCATTTCCCCATGATATTGTTCATCATATAAAAACGACTGGTCCTCCCGTTTTTTCTCGTCCCCGCCGTCTTGCTCCCGCGCGTCTTGCGGCTGCTAAAGCAGAATTTGACCACATGCTGCAACTAGGGATTATTCGACAGTCTGACAGTCCCTGGGCATCTCCTTTGCACATGGTTCTTAAACCAAATACGGATGATTGGCGTCCTTGTGGCGATTATAGAGCCCTAAACAATATCACTATGCCCGATCGGTACCCCGTTCCTCATCTTCAGGACTTTGCTGGAGCCCTTTTCGGCAAAACCATTTTCTCGAAGATCGATTTGGTGCGGGCTTTTCATCAAATTCCGATTGCGGCTGAGGACATTCCCAAAACGGCAGTGACGACTCCTTTTGGCTTGTTCGAGTTCCTTCGTATGCCATTTGGTCTCCGAAATGCCTCACAAACTTTCCAACGTTTCATTGACCGTGTTTTACGCGGCCTTCCATTTGTTTATGCGTATATTGATGATGACCTCGTCGCCAGTCGAGATGTGGGGGAACATCTCCATCACCTTACCCTGCTTTTCGACCGATTTCAGCAGTTTGGTGTCACCCAGCATCCTTCCAAATGTGTCCTAGGAGCCACTTCTCTTGAGTTCTTAGGTCACCTGATAGACTCAAACGGTATTCGGCCTCTTCCCTCAAAAGTTGCCGCCATTCGGGACTTTCCACCCCCTACCTCGAAGCGTCAGTTGCAACGGTTTCTTGGTATGGTGAACTTGTATCGCCGGTTTCTCCCTAACTGTGCCGATACCATCCTACCTCTGACCGATCTCCTCTCAGGTCCCAAACGCACCTTTGAACTTACATCAGCCGCACTCACGTCATTTGAGCAGGTAAAAGACCTTCTGGCTGACGCCACCCTCCTGACTCACTTTCACGCTGATGCACCCATATCTTTGATGGTCGATGCCTCCAATGTTGCTGTTGGCGCGGTTCTTCAACAAAGTCTGCCGGATTCTACCGTGCCTTTGGCTTTCTTCTCCAAGAAACTATCCAAAGCCGAAACCCGCTACAGCACATTCGGACGGGAACTTCTCGCCGCTTATCTTGCCGTAAGGCACTTCCGGCATTTACTTGAAGGTCGAGAGTTCACAATTTTCACTGATCATAAGCCACTCACGTTTGCGATGCATTCCCACTCTGACAAGCTAAGCCTCCGGGAGATCCGTCACATGGACTACATTTCGCAGTTCACTTCAGACATCCGCCATATTGACGGGTCAAGGAATGAGGTGGCTGACGCACTGTCCAGGCCTTCTATTACTCATCTTCAGCTTTCACCCGGGATAGACCTCGCTGAGATGGCCGCTGAACAACGCCGTGTCGGTCCACCCTGTGATGAGGATGTTTCCGGACTCCAACTCCAGGAACTACCACTGACGACTGGCAACGGCACCATTTTATGCGACGTATCCACCCCTTCCCATCGTCCATTTGTGCCGCCATCCCTCCGCCGTAAAGTTTTCTCCTCCCTGCACAATCTCTCTCACCCTGGGAGTCGAGCAACCGACAAGCTGGTTTCCGACCGCTTCGTCTGGCCTGGTATGCACAAGGACCTGAAGGCATGGACACGGGCTTGCATTGCCTGTCAACGGAGCAAGATCCAGCGGCACAACAAGGCCCCCATTGGTACCTTCCCCGGCCCTGGTGCAAGGTTCAGCCACGTTCACCTGGACATTGTAGGCCCCCTGCCTCTGTCCAATGGTTGTTCCTATCACCTCACCTGTGTGGATCGGTTCACTCTGTGGCCTGAAGCAATTCCCCTGCCTGACATTGCTGCTCCAACGGTGGTCAAGGCTTTTCTCAGTCGTTGGGTTGCTATCTTTGGTGCACCCTCCACAATCACGACTGACCGTGGTGCCCAATTTGAATCTAATCTCTTCCAGTCTTTACTCTCCTTTTTAGGCTGTATCCGCATCCGGACGACAGCCTATCACCCGGCTGCTAACGGGATGGTCGAGCGGTTTCACCGCCAGCTGAAGGCCTCCCTACGCGCCGCGGCCGATCCGGAGAACTGGACGGATCACCTTCCCCTGGTCCTCTTGGGCATCCGCTCCGCTCTCAAGCCGGACCTTGACTGTTCCGCAGCTGAACTGGTGTTCGGATCCACCGCCCGACTCCCCGGTGAGATGATCTCGCCAACCCCTCAAGGTGCAGTTGAGGATCCTACAAACCTCCTGCATCGTCTCCGGCAGTTTATGCGGACACTTTCTCCGGTTCCTCCCAGGTCCTCCGCCTCTCCGTCTTATCTCGAGAAGGACTTGGCAACGTGCTCTCACGTCTATCTCCGATGTGATCGAGTCCGCCGGCCTCTGGAACCGCCCTATGACGGCCCATTTCGGGTGCTCTCTCGCGGGCCGAAGACTGTCCGCATTCAGCGCGACAATCGTGAAGAGGTCGTGAGTGTGGACCGCCTCAAGGCTGCCGTCCCTGACACTCCTCCGGATGAGCCCTGTGGTCCTCAACCTTCTGCTTCCCCCCACGGAGCCTCTATTCCACCGTCCCGTATTTTCCCTCTGCCCTCCTGTCCGCCATCTCCGACTGCCACCACCAACTCCAACACATCCGCCACCAGATTTATTCACTCTTCTACGGACCCTGTATATATCACTCGTAGTGGTCGTCATGTACACTTTCCTGATCGGTTGGTCACGCATTTCTTTTAGATCTGTACACATCCTTCGGCGTCGTTTTCGCCGGCCTCCGGTCTCGGAGGGGGTACTGTGCCGAGGCGCCAGACTATCTTGCCTTTCCCTACCTGTTCCTCATTCTTGAACTTACTGGTTGTTTAACTGAATGGAATGAACACAACTCGACGCGACGCGCTTGGCATGAGTGGGATTGTCAGGTCGTTTGACTTTTGATTATTAATTCTTCCATAACTCTGGTCTTATCCTGATTTTTATAGTCTGGGATTGACGGTTCTGTCTTTGACGCTCGCTACAATATTTTGCCAGTTTTCAATAAAATATGTTTGAATTTACGAGGGCATTGAAAGTCAAAAGGAAAATTTTGCATTTCTCATGAAGTGATTTTTCTTACTAAATATGCTTTTGCAGGGGACTGAGAAATATCACATTCACAAGCTGACATTCTGCACGACAGAAACAACTTAGGATTTTGCTTCACATTGACCTATAGTGTCACCCCACATAAGCAGTCCTTTCTGATCGACAAAATGTTTCAGGATTACGGCTTCCGTCTACTCAGATGGGTCGAGTTCCTCGAAGATACTTCCCTTTGCCCGGGCTTTCTACCAAATGTGTTTAAATACCGTTTGAAATATCATGAGTTGCATCACCTACAGTATGTCCAGCACCGTTGTTTGTCTTGGTAATCATCGGCAACGTTCTGCAACACTGTCTCCAGTCCGTTGTTTTCAAAATGTCTTTTACAATTGTAGTCTTGATTTCTGTTGCATCTATCAGTTCCTCAGTGAATTGGGGTTTGGCCTACATCCCAAGTAGAGGTGAGTTTAATTTTCCACTGATCATGACTTGCTTTTGCCCGTTTAACGCATATGGCTGAGTGCCATTAACATTTAACTTTGCTCGAACTCTTCTTAATCTACTAGGTCGTAGACCTAAAATTAGCAGTTTTAACACAACAGCCTTATGAGGGTGGAGCCCGTCATGTTTTTATTTATCGTAAAATACCCCTTATTAGCACATACAGTCAATGACTGACGTCGTGAAGTATTAACCAAAACAATTAAAGGCCTATTTATTTTGGGAAGGTAGCGTAAGTTTGATTGTTATAATACAACGCTATTCCAAAATATTTTTAGCACACCAGGACTTGGGCTTCTGGTGCCTATTCAGTATAATTTTAAGACAAATTGGTTATAGCAGGTTGTCGGCTTTTTAACGCGCTTTTTTCTTTTGTTTGTAAATACCACTCAGTTAAAAACGTCCAACGATTCAATAGGCCATTTGACCATTAAACTTGATCTGCTTATAAATTAAGATTCATTTTTGCGAATTTTTTCATGTTCCGTTTGAAAGATCAAGTTATCAAACACATATTTGGTAGTTATCACCCAATAAAAAACATGCACAGAATCATAATCTCTTAGTCTTCTTCGGCAGCATACTCATAAATCACATCTTGAAATATGACACTTGAAGCAGGGATATGTGCCAACTTTTAAAAAGTTTTCGTTATGTGACGTTTAAGGCAGCGAACTGTCCATTCAAATATTATCGCGGCTGTCCGTTTATTAATGCTCCTTTTGAAGTAAGCAATATAATACATAAATCTTAAAATATTGCGAGCCGTATGTTGACATAGTGAAATATGTAATTTTTGCATGTGAAAAGTCTATAGGTGGTAGATTGTAAACCCTAGCGTAAACGCATCGGCAGATTGTTCTAAAATAACATGAGGTTTAATAAGCTTTGAAATCCAAGAGATAGGCTTGATTTGAGCCTACAGTTTGAAGACGTGATTTTCCAAATAAGAGTACATGGAAGGTTATATTTTACGAGTTTTCAATAAAATATGTTTGAATTCATGAGGCATTTAAAGTCAAAAAAGATTTAACATTCCGCATGAAGTTAGTATTCTTACTAAACGTGCTTTTGCAGATGACTAAAAAATATCCCATTTAAAAGCTGAAATTCTGCACGACAGAAAAAGCTTAGGATTAGGCTTCACATTGACCAATAGTTCATTTGGCAATGCACCCCGCTGTGAAACCACCAGGTCATGCTCCATTTGCTGTTTTTATTATGAAAATTCATGAAATAACGGGACTAAAGGGTTTTTTCTGCCTGTGGGCCTGTATGCCGGCAATTTCCTTCTATTCTGGGCGGCCGGTCATCTGTCTGGTCAGACCTTTCCTGATTTGACAGGGCAGCGTACGTTTTTAATTCTCCCAAGCTATTTCTTGGCCGACACTCAGACAGCTTGTTTTATTTCTCCTTTTATTTCTAACTGGGCTTAGTGAATATGAGACTTTCATTAAATAAGGAGAATACAGCTTGTAAGCTGGGACGCCTAAACACGCTTTTAACGGCAAATAGGGTTGTAAAAAATTCGAGAATTAAAAAAATATTTCTTAAAACCAATAATTGCCCTTTCATTCAGCAGATCACTTGAGGGTTATGGTATTTGGCTCAAAATGAGCAGAAAAGAAAACATTTTGTCAATGTCTACCATAAAATGCGTTTAAATATTTAACTCTATAGAAAATCAACGGAAAAAATGCATATCAGGAAAGTTGTCGTTTTTTATATCAAGCATCAGTCCTAAGGTCGCCTAGAATGCCGTTCATTCAAAAGCCGGTGTTCCGGTGTGTATGAAATATGCCAGGATAATGCCGAGATCATAGTTTTGAATACCGGTAGAAATTGCATGAGTTACATCACCCTTGTCTGTTTTCGTACCCAACAACCACTTTCTGCAACATCATTTTTAACCACTGGTTTTCAAACTGTCTTTTGCAATTTTAGTCCTGACTTCTGCATCATCCGTCAGATTTTCAGTACTTTGGAGCTTGGCCAACTTCCCAAGCATTTTTACAAACAGCTGACTTTATTCTGCTACTGATTGCCACTTGCTTTAGCCTGTTAAAATCCCTTGGTTGGATGCATCAAGCTGTTGACTTTCGTTGACTGCCTACCAGGTCGTTGGCCTAAATTTATATTACCACCGCTACAACCTAACTTATGCTGAAGCTCGTCATTAGCTGTTTTACGTAAAATATCCGTTTTTAGCATTTTTATTCAGTGATCGATATAAAGAAGTTCGAACTAAAATTATTAAACACGTTTTCATTTAGGGAGGATTACGTAAGTTAGATTGCACTTCGTGCTCCACATTTTCTGGTGTTGCAACATCTTGTCTGTCTTCGTAATCGTGAGCAACTTTCTGCAACATCGTCTTCAGTCAGTGGTTTTGCAATCGTAGTCCTAATTTCTGCTTAATCCGTCAGCTTCTCAGTGCTTCGGGACTCGGTCTACCCTCCGAGTAGATCTTATGGCATTCTCCACCCTGTTGAGTTTAATCTGCCACTGATCGTGACTTGCTTTTGCCTGTTCAAGGCCCATGGCAGTCAGAAACATTCTCTTATCGGCCCGATAGGCTGTGTGATTTTCCTTGAATGGGAAGAATGCGGCTTGTAGGTTTGGGGTACTTATTGCCGTGACCGGCTAACTACGGAACTGGTAGGTAGTCCATAGTAAAAAATAGCCTGGTGAACGAATTCTTTTGAGCCAAAATTATTTTTCAGAAGCCTTTTTGTGGGGTTTTGGTTTCTTTTTGATAATATGGCTTACGCATAATTCACGCAAGTATATTTTTTCATTTGGCTGCGAACTATTTTCTTTTAACTAATTTACATAAGTATTTAGACGACCTTTGAGGTTGCTTTAGTCCCTCTTTCCCTTGGCAACTTCAGAAGTAAATTTTTGGGCCTTTTGCAAGCCCTTTCCCTAAATTTAGTTTCGGCTTTGCTGTGATAATTATTGATATGCGGTCAGTAGAATTTAGACTCTGTTTTCGTGAAGTACTGCGTCAAGCCTTAAATAATTCTGTCTTCAGTGATTCTAGATTATTAGCGGGTAAGTCGTCCCGGGCACTTGGGTGTCAGCGTATTTTCGGAAGTGGCAAACTGCAAGCGCACACATGAGTACGGCAACTCGCGGCCGCAGTAACACTTATCTGCTTACAAATTATGGTAGCCAAAAGCAAATGGCCTATTTTTTGGTGTTCATTGTGCGTGACTTTATGGGTTCTTTGGTGAGGTCGGTTCTGCGATATCCGATTGCACGCGCATTGCGTCTTACGCTAGAGGAAAATCGATATGACGAGTTTTGGACGTATTGGCTTTTACCAGTATACCCATTATCGGATCTTCATGCAGTCTGGCCTTTATAATGGCCGGGCCAATTATTATACAGAAGACGATGGCCAACATCAAATCGCTACCCAATCTTTAGCTGGTCCTTCATCGGCATGCCTAAATCACCCATGGTATTTGTCGGGCGATGGGCGATGCCCATGCCAATCTCTCCGACAGTACGTCCTGTCACCTTTAATGCCTTTCTTGCGCACCACCTAAATTTCAAAGCGCCCTGAAAGGTGTTCACTTATCCTTTTAGGCAGGCGTTCAGTCGCGTGACCGTATGCATTAACTGACCTGTTGAAACTTTATCGAAAGCAAATGCCTGCTCGCAGAATATTATTTTGAATCCCACTGTAGCTTATTATTCCAACCAAAAAGTTGAGAAAAGGGAAAGATTTTGGACATTTAGCGGCTAAATGTCCTGTTCAAGGATGTTTTAAACAGATAGATTAGTGGGGAGGGCTCTCCGGTCATTGATCGCAAGCATTCACTCCGAACTTGCATTTCGTGCTTTCTTGCATCTGCACACATTCTCCAGACCCTGGTCACTTTAAAAAACGCCTTTTAAATCCCTACTTCAAGGGCAGTCTTGATTTCAAGACTTCCTTAAGCACGAGTTATAGAATCGATGCTTGTGTATAATTCGACGAGGATACTGGAAACGGACATTTAGAAAATGTCCTGATACTCGACAGAGGCCACCATCTCTAGAAATCGAACAGTTTGTTTGTCACTTGGTGCACAGAAAAATGTATGCTAACGATTGCATCTACTAATTCTATACCGCAACATCAAGCGAAGTACGCCTTGCTTTTATCAACCGCATCTTGAACATTACTAAAACGAAAAATGTTCGTCAAATCCTCGTAAGATCATTTGTAAACATACAACCAAACACCCAGCGGTTCATACTAATTCTTGGGAAATTAGAGCCAGGATCATTTTTAGGGCTAGGACCAGGCTTAAGGTAATGAGGATGAGTTGTTGAACCCAGGGAGTTTAGAAGTAGGGTTGGGAGGGTTAGGACTTAGGTTAGTGTCAAAGTTACCACATGGGAATTTAGCGTACAGGGGGTAGTACGGAGATTCACATTTACGTGTCCGACCTCCAAACGTTGCTGTGCCTGTTTCGTGCTATTTCCCATATGCGTGCATTATGTACTCCGGCAAACTGGGCGCACTGACTTAGTATAAAATGTTGCAAGTTAGGTTGGCAACGGTATGGAGAAGGACCCCACTTAACTGACGGCAGACTGTGGATCACGTCATAGGGGTTTTTTTCTTGGCATTCACTCGCAAGCCTTTGCGAACACTACACTGCCAATAACAATCACTTCCCATGACTTCAAACCATCACTCAAACTCCTTTGTTTATTTTGAATTACTGCGCTCATTTCTGTTGTCCTACGAAAGCGTACGATGAGTCTTTCAGGATAAATCCAGACAGTTTCTGCTTTTTCCTGCATTTCGTCAGCCTACTGTCTAGTGCGCTTAACCAACCGTAAAACTCCGCTTTTCGCCAATCACATATGAAACGACCCACAATCTACCGACAGTAAAGTGGGGTCCTCCTCCATTACGTTGGTTTTAGGTATTTAACACTTTTTAAGTATTCACTTTGACCCAACTGCGGAAAACTCTGCGCCACGTGTTACAGTCTCGGTTCTGACATCACACCTGTACACTTATAGATATTCACAAGCCCACCACATCTACTTACACGTAATTTTTTGTGATTACACACTTGCTTGCTTTTAAATGTTCGCACTGACTGCGAATCGTACCAAAAACTTGATCCGCGTTACCATAGACATTTTCTTAGAATGATTTCACAATCTTTCATTTATAATTTTTCACTTTGACCCAACTGTGAAAAATTCGGCGCCTTGGTAGGATTCGAGTTCACGTCAGCAGGAGAGGTTTTAGTACAGCCAACGCTCTAACCATCTGAGACACCACCAGAAGACGTGAGTTTAGTCACATATCGGTGAAGTTACCCACCCAGCCTACTGCAACGTCTGGAATCCACCGAATCTGATACAGCATGCTGACTGATCAAACAGGATTCTCTAAGTAATCCACCTAGAATCCCCCAGATGACTAGCAGTCTCACGGTGGGACTGACTTATGTGGGCCCTTAAAAAGAACATGGGAATAGAAATGCCCCGTTCAAACAGCGAAAGTAGACCTGTGCATGATTTCGAAAAGGACAAAATACTCCCGTATCCTAGTCTCAACAATAACGCTTATATTACATTTATATGGTTATTGCAGTAAGGAATTAAAAGATACGGGCAAGTAGATGGAACGAAATGGTCATGCTTTCGTTGGATGTCTCAACACTTTTTACGAACTTACCGGTAACGGAAACGGTCATTTACCTTTGTGATTTCATTGCCGACAATCAACAGGATATAGGAAAGCCAGTGAATGCCCTCAAGGAATTGTTATTGAGGTGTACCTTGAACGTGCAGTTCCTATTCGACAACAATCTATATAGGCAGATGTACGGCGTAGCCATGGGCTCGCCCCTTGGCCTGCTTTCGGCGAATATATTCATGGGGAAGTTAGAAGCCTTATAGCTACGTCACTAGATCAACGGCTTAAGATACTATGGGCGATACGTGGATGATTTGGTTCGCGATTGCACCGAAACAATGTGACATCTCAATTGTACTGGATGATATAAATCAGGCTAACCCATCAACCAAATTAACCCTGGAAGAAGAACAGTCCAGTTCACTTCCCTTTCTGAATGTGCTTCAAAGTAGAAAGCCTGATGGCAGCATTGTACGTAGCGTCTATCATAAGAAAACGTGGTCCGGACAATACATCCATTTTGGGAGTTTCGTAGCGCTAAAGGTTAAACGTAATTTAGTTCGCTGTTTGACAGAAAGAGTGAGAAGAATATACCCAGCTGAGAGCGTTGTGAAAGGTCTTAAGATCATCAAAAGCCATTTCGCCAAAACGGGTATCGTGATCGATTTATTGCTAGGAACATGGCCGAAAGACCACAAAAGCCCCGATACTGGCGACAGGAAAGAAAAGGCTCGTCATTAGGGTCCTAGTTCAAGAGGATGCACCAAGTGAACTTTTAAGAAGATGCCTAACGCAAATTGTATTACAGACCTTTCCAGCAGTTGACACACGTGTAACGTTCTCCACCAGTCCTATCTTATACGGAGAGGGCAAGGACAAACTACCGGCTCAGACCACCTCCGTGTGTATTTACTCCTTTACCTGCTCCTGTGGGGCAAAATTTATTCATCGCACGAGCCGGCGTTTATCTAAAAGAATAAAAGAAAATCTGCTAGCAAAATAAGAAAGGGTCAAAAAAAGAACAGCAACAGCTCGATCCTTGCACACATGGTACACACAGACCATCATGTAGACGTCAGAGAGGCCTTCAACGTGATTTACAAGGTCCCATCAAGCTATCCAAAACTACTTGGGCAGCGCTTGTTGGCTACGGCAGCGGCGGTTACAATCGGGCTACGCGGACCGGTCCTATACGCACAGAAGAACTTCATACAAGTTTCACAGTTGACATGGCTCAAAGCCACCAAGCCAGCCACCTGCATGAAATTACCCTCGCCGGAACCCACCTTCTCCCTGGCGCTGACTGGAATTGTGGTGTTTCACTCTCCCCCTCCCCTCCTCCCCCCAAACCCGAACTACAGCTTTATTATCTACTTACCCGTATCTTTTAATGCATTACTCTAATAGTCATATAAATGTACAGGCTTGAAGAGAATTTGTGAAAAGCATACGTATGCTCGCCAAATTGTCTTTTGAATAATACTGAACCGTTGCTCTAATCTTGACTCTAACCTTAACCTAAAGCTTAATTCTGCAGTTAACACTAGCCCCTAACTTAACCCTGCAGTCGATCCTGACCTACCTTACCGTTAACTTTAAGTCTGACCTCAAACCTAACCATTATTCTAACTCAGCCTAACCCTAAACGGTGCCCTTATTTCACTGGAAGTCGGTTCAAAGCCACCCGTATTGCAGGCGCTTCCTGTTCTCATGTCATATAAGTCAATCGTGCAGTTTTTTCCTAACTACCGTTTGTTATTTCCTGTAACCTCCGGCCACTAATAATTATTTGGACGACTTAGTCGAGGCAAATTTCCCTACTTCCGGTTAATTAGAGATTGCTGGTGCATGTAAGCATGATTTTTTGCGTTGAGTCACCAGGTGCACGTCTTTTCCAAAATGCCAATGCCCTCCAGGCAGGCTCCTTCCATCCCCTAATCATACAACTGTCAGTACAAAAATACCAGAGGCTGCAACCTAGGTGGCAATGGGGAAACAAAATGGTCCACAAATGAAGGCGACAGTTTGAGTTCCAGGTATGTGCATTAGTGAAGAAGAGGAAGAAGAAGAAGAAGAAGAGGAAGAAGAAGAAGAGAAAGAAGAAGAAGAAGGGTAATCGAGCCCCGGGTCATTCTGATTATTGTTCCGAGCTTTCGAACTCGTTCAGGAGTCCACCGTCAGAGATAGTACCAGCAACAGAACAAGCGAATTATCGATCGATGTCGCGAGACTGAACAGGGCTCTGTACGTCGGCGCCAGATCGATAAATCAACTGACTGAGTTCTCATCCGAGGTCCAGGCTTCAATAAATTCTTGGCCTAATTTGTTTCTGGCATGGGCGATTATCTTGGTGGCTGCGAAGTGAAAGTCAAGACAAATTTCGTAGGTGTGGACGGTCACTTGTGATAATGCGTCGACTCGTCGCACAGCCAGCTTACGGTCGTGAATGCGCGATCCGTGCATGCGTCTTATCTAGCCTGTGTATTTACAAGGATAGTTTTGGCACGGAATGTGATATAATACTCCAGATTGTACTCATCAGACATTAACCAGTCTTTAATTTTCATGACCCTGCTGCGGATGGTGGCATCGAGGCGGTGTGCAATTTCAACGCCTGACTCCGCAGCAATATGCTCGGTTGCATCTGAAACATCCCTAATATATGGTAGAGAATGCCAAATCGTTGGTGTTATTGATGTTTGGGTCCTCTGGGGGCAACGGCTTATGCAGCGATTTACGAATGTCTTCAAACAGTCGTTTTGCAGAAATTGGTCGGGGATATAACGGGCCTCACGTGCTCTTTCCTTCAGTAGAAAATCCTGCCCTACTTTAATCAATTATTTAAATATATTTCATTTTAATGGTTTTGACCTAGAAAATCCCCAAATATTTGTGGTCACATGCGAGGTGTCTGCGATATACTTGAGGATGTGGGTCAAGGTGATGTGGAACGCAGGCGATGAGGGGGCGGCATTTGTAGGTGGCCTTATAATATGCGCACTGCGATCGCAAGGCGTCTCTCAGATGCTATCCCCTGCAAACCATGACTACTGATACGGACTTTGCGATTGAGGCAGACAGCCGTCGTTGTATGGCCCACCGTCCTGGTTTCGGGACGACTGCAAGGTCACGCATCGTCCCCAGGACTGTACTCCTGTAATTAAACTACGCCGTCCCCCCCCCCGCACCCTCAGACGCTCTGACCTGCAGTCGCCCGACTGACTTTATTCACCGCGGTCTAAGACATGCGTCTAGACAGGCGTCGCTGTCCCAAAATCGAGTGATGCAACACATGCCACTTGGGTTCATGCAGCCTTGATCTAGCGTCAACGGCGGTAGCATAGACTCTTTAACTCGTGACTTATCATTGAGAAAGAGACGCGATCGCTAGAAAAGTGTTTTTATTCGACTGACATCCCGGATTCACGCCCGAATCCATCGTCAAAGACAGCCTCAGATACGGATAATTCAAGCACACGGGGTCGCAGTATTCATAAGAGGCAGTCGCTGTGTTACTCACTGCCTATTATAATTAACAACTCCCACACTTCATAAACCACTGGTGCGAGGATTGCTGGATGATTGGCATCCGGAACATTAATCGCCGCGATTTCATCACCCGTCTTGCATGTTGACTTGATGATTACTCGACCATCGGGCCCGCCGGGGAGCGTTGTCATTTCTTCTGCCTAGGTTAAGACTCTACATCGCAAACAGGGCGAGAAGGGAGTTAGTGGACTAGGGGCCAGTGAACCATGACTCAGGCAGCTCGCGGCTCGCACGATTGTCACCTCTTGCGACCATTTCGGCCTCATTGAACTTTAATGTATGGCCGAGTCCGTCGAATGATTCGAGGCATGGAAGCTGGCGTCATTTCCTTCAACTACTGCCGCGTGTGCGGCTACTCGCGTCCAGAGTACTCTCACAGTTCTACTTACCTAATTGCTTTGTCCGCAACTGTACCAGAAACGCCAAACGACTTCAAACGTTCTTCTGTCCTAAGAGTGGGATTATTGTTTTGTTAGATTGCACCTGATGGTTGCCTCCGGTCCGTGTGTCGTTCCAATTCCAAGTAATGCAAGAAGCCGGCTGGCGGTCCCCGGGCCGTCCTTCACGAACAGAAGCGCTCGCCAAAAGTTGGAATCAGTGCGATTTAGCCTCGTCTCATTTGCGTATACACCGGTTGACAAAGTTGCGCGGGTAGCCATTTGCCCTGAACATTTGTCGAAGACATCATTGTCTTCCAGTTAACCGCAGTGCGTCTCATCACGTAGGTGAGTTTCTTTGACTGGTCGGATGGTTGCTAGCGAATTTCAGTACTTGCGTCACTTTTCGTGCTTTCCAGGATACTTTGGTCTCTAGACCACCACGATCTTGACAGCAGACGAGGTCATAATAAAAATACGAGCTGGTTGTTCTCATCCTTCTCCATCGTAGAGTGCATGTCCATCAGAAGGCACTAAAAACGTTCTTCGAAAGCCAGCATTCGATCCTGTTCGAGGACTACGAAAGCATTATTCATAGATCGAATCCAGAATTGCAGTCTGCGGTATTTGAAAAAGACCAGCGACTCAGACCGGTGTAGGACCGCCTCGTCCATGCGCCCCGAAGTTGGCACGACTTTCACCTGTTCGAAGATAGGTCCGCCAAGCATGACGGATGTCCTAAGACAAAACTCCAGGACGTGAAAGACATGGGGGTGCCGAGACGATTCCCCATTACGTCATATTTAATTCGTAGCAGTGGTTCAAATAACTCGACTGCTAAAATTTGGGAAATAGGAGTAAGAAAGGACGCGGCATTAAAAGACAACATGAGCTCTTTTGGCTGGATACTGACCTCTCTAAGTTCCTCCAAGTACTATGGTACGTGAACTATCTCATGACACCTGATAATGGGAACCAATGTGGCAATTTATGGGCGTCTTTAACTTTCTGCATTTTGCTTGCCTGTCCAGCCCTATCAATGAAACGTCCCTTCTTGTGCCGAAATTGTGTTTACGTTATTATATCCAGCAAAATGTTAATACATTTTAACGAAAATGGACGTTGCAATATACAGTGAGGGACCAATCTCGGGAAATGTTGACCGAAATTTTGAAATGCGTTTTTGGTTAGGGAGGATTACTTAGGTACGGTTACAATATGGCTTATTATGCGACATAATCTGATAATGTTTCGTACTTGCCAGGATGTCCGCTTTTGAATACACTCTGTTTTGACCTCCTGTAGAAACCGCATTCGGTAATAATTGACTACCTTAGAAGCATGTAGTTTTCACATAGATTTTTGATGGTCATATTAATTCAAATATATTTTATAGAAAACATGCATAAAAATGTGCTTTCGTTTACTCCTTTGGTGGGGAATCACGTTGCCTTTAAATTGTGTACCTTAAGAAAGGATACATTTAGGTTTTGAAAAAGTTTCTGCATGCCAGAATTATTTTGAGGCTGATCAGCCGTTGCATTAGCTTTTAGCGATTTCAGTTCACAAGGTGATTGCTTTCGGCGTAAGGAAAATTATAAATTCCCCTATACAGTGCGTGACCGATTTCATGAAATGTTGGCCGAAATTCAGAAATGCGTTTTCGATTAGGAAGGATTACTTAGATGGGGTTGTAATAATGATAAGTATGCAGCCTAAGCCTACAGAATTTCGGACTGACTGGCTTTTGCTGGAGCTTCTTTTCGCTCACCCTGCAGAAACCACACTCGGTAAAAACTGACTACTTAAGTAGCATGCATTTTTCCTATTGATTTTCGATGGTCTTGTAAATTCAAATATATTTTATAGAAAACATGCGCAGGACTATGCTTTCTTTTACTCCTTCGGTAGAAAATCACATTGTCTTGATATTTTACACCCGAAGAAAGCGTATAATTAGGTTCTAAAAAAGTTTCTAATTATGAGATTTTTTAGACCGTTAGATGTCCTTGCATACAGGACCGCTTATGTCTGTTTACCAGTTCTCCTAACGAAATTCAACCCGGATCCATTACGAAATTTTAGGAACTCTGTGTGGTACCTTCTAAAAGGCATAGAGGAATATATGATTTTACTTACGCGGAAAGCGTGCACCTTGTAGAATGAAATCACCAACGGCTAATGCAATGGCAGATCAGGCTCAAAATTATTCGGGAAAGGGAAAACTTTTTTAAATCCTCAATATACACCTTCTTCGGGTAAATCGCTAAAAGCTATTGCAACGGCTGATCAGCTTCAAAATTATTCTGGCATGCAAAAACTTTTGCAAAACCTAAATTTATCCTTTCTTAAGATACACAATTTAAAGACAACGTGATTCCCCACCAAAGGAGTAAACGAAAGTATATTTTTATGCATGTTTTCTATAAAATATATTTTAATTTATACGACCATCAAAAATCAATGTGAAAAATACATGCTACTAAGGTAGTCAACTATTACCGAATGCGGTTTCTACAGGGGGTCAAAGCAGAGTGCACTCAAAAGCTGACATCCTGTCAAGTACGAAACATTATAGGATTATGCCGCATAATAATCCATATTGTAACCATACCTAAGTAATCCTCCCTAACCAGAAACGCATTTCAAAATTCCGGTCAACATTTCATGAGATCGGTCACTCACTGTGTTCGTGCGATTTCCTATGCTGACGCCTGTCATAGACTTCGGTTGCGCATTTAGGCGCGTCTTTTTTTGATAGGTAAGTAAGTTACCCGCGAGAGTTTTAATAAACAGATTTAGCCGAACGTAAACAATTATTTATATCCGATGTTAACTGTGGTAATCTGCCTCCTAACACAAAGGTTATTTTAAGAAAAAACAGATGTTCTGTCTATTTTTAGAAGCCAGATTAGCATATCTGTGCGATTTCATGCCCTGGAGTGCCGTAATAACGCAGACAAGGATTCCGTTATTTAAATAGGCTTGAATTGTTTTGCCGTTTGGAAAACGCCACATGATGTCACATAGATGATCACCGCCGAACGGTCACATCCAGTTTTAAACATATGAAACATTACTTGTTATACAGTCTAGCTTTTGCACATAACTTTTTCAAGGGTGGAAGGAGAAAAACATTAACAGTTTCATCAAGATATCAGTATTTATTTAAGCACTCTGCCGTGTATTCGAAATCGCAAAACGGAGTCTAAAAGTGAGCAAAAACACTGGGAGTGGCCGAAATACATAGAGAAAGACATGTTCTTACGTTCACGGTAAAAAAATATTAGTACGTTTTAGGAACGTGGAAGAAACGGCTAAAAGTGTCAAATTATTTTTTGGCCTTACCGTGCAAAGATGAAAAGTGCACAGAGATCCGTCAATGAAGTGTTGTACTAAAGCATTTCCTAAAGAGATAAATTATAATAGAAAGTTTTCTAATTGACTGAAGGCGAATTCGTCGCTAGCATTTGTTGTGCACGGTCATTATATTCGGAAACGAAGTTTCACCTTTGAATGAGTCTTCAAATGTGACCCGAAAGACATCCTTTATGAACAAAAGCGCCCAGACGCTCGCTGATTCGGTTAATGCTTTCAAAAAGTGTCTTATTTTAATTTTTTTTAACAGACAGATAATAAGTAATCTGTCTTTACGGGCAACTGGGGAAAACACTGAAAATCATAAAGTATTCAACAATATTTCAAGGCCGATCTGAATCTCGGTGCAATTCGAAACGAATCAGAAGTGCAAATTAATTTAAATGAAGAAACGTTCCCTCCATAAACACAAACTGGTATGTTTACGATCTAGACTGTAAATTCTATTTAAATTTATTAGTCACAGATCGGCCTGACAGCATGTGACCCTATAAAAACTTTTGCTCCTACGACGTCTCCATCGGCGAAATCAAGCAACGCTCTGTTTCTCTTGTTCAACCGAATCTCAAGCAATCCAAACGAGTAAAGAATATAACGAATCCCGGGAAAACTGCTTTGAAACGTCTACTCAGAATGTACGCTGTTTAAAAACCGGCATATATGGAATTTCACTAATTCTTAGAGGACAGTTGGATGCAAACTTCACTAAAACACTATTATTAGGCGTTATTTTATTTCCATTTTCAAAGTTATTTCACTTTCCCCATGAGAAGACATTTTTATGCCTAAAACCGAAGTTTACCTAATTGCGGCCATTTTTGAAGTTTTAAGGATTTTGCGCCGTTCTGAAAAACGGCATTTCGAAGCAACACAATACTGCCTTAAGCATTTATTTTATGTCTTTTATTCTTTCGAAGTTGTACTTAGTTGACATATATATATTGGATCCATTAACTGGTGTCAATTTGCGAGTGATTTGCAATCAATTGTAAATTTCAACACCTTTCATGAATTATGTCACGTACTGTACGTTAGGCAAAAGACTGTGATATCTGAATAAGCGGCTAGCTGAGCATGAGACATAAACCTGGTGATTCTTCAGAGCGGTTTTGACCTACTGAATGTAGTCTGTCGAATTGCGATGGTCGAAAGGGTCCCAAATCACAAAATATGTAAGACAGAGTTATTGGACAGTCTTTTGCTGCGACAGAAGAGTGTACAGGCAGCCTAGCAAACAATTGCAGCCAGCCATCTATTAATTTGTGCTTGCGTGTCCAGAAAAAAAAATTGCCAAACACGTAAGGGAATAACTTTGTTCGTAGACACGGATGACCGAACACGCGGCAGCAGTGCAATCAACTGACGTTAGCTCGCATATCGCGAGTTATTTGGCGGACCCGGTCACGTATTGAAGTTCGATAAAGGCGAAATTCTCGGGAGCGGTGACAATTATGCGAGCTGCAACCTACTTGAGTCATGAGTTACTGACTCCTAGTCTACTAACCTCCCTCCTCTGCATTTTCTTCAGAGGCTTAGACTAGGCAGAGTAATTAGCCAGCATCGGTGGGCCAGCTGGTGGAGTAATCATCGCGCCAGCATGAAAAACGGGTGACGAGATCGCAGCGGTTAACGACTTGAATGTCAATCATCCATCGATTATCGCACCAGAGGCAACTATAGTTTATGAAGGAGGAAGACGTTAATTTTGACAGTAGCGTCTGCCTCCTATGGACACTGCAACCCCGTGCGCGTGAAGTATCCGTACCTGATGTTGTATTCGGGCGTGAATCCGAAACGCTAGCCAAATAAAAGCATTGTTTCAGCTATCGCGTTTACTTCTTCACTGCCTCCTGGGTCTCGTATTTTCGCTTGTATCGATAGTGAGTTATCACTTTCGCCACGTGTTCTGATTGCGCAAGCTCTCCGAGATAGGTACTCATGGCTCGTACCAGAACTCGGTCAACGCATTATGTCGTTCATACTGCAGACCCTCCACCGGTCACAAAACAGCCCATGGACTGCTGCAGAGATCAGGAAATTTGTTGGTGAGGATCATTTATCTTCTACATGAGTTAAAAGTTAAAATTACCGTAATAACTGACTTTCGCCAGTCATCAAAGTGAGGAATTGATACAAGCAGGTTAAAAGTCTACCCCTTGGATTAAAAATTCAGCGGGGGCACGATATTTTATGTCACGCTCTAACCTACTATTTGCAAATTTTAGAGGTAATGGAAATAAGTTAATTTTTTCAAGTGAATGAGAAAAAACATTTTACCAAAAACCGTCTCACTTTTCAACCAGCTATATAAAGTATCTTGTTATCAATCATCCTCACTCAACTTATAATTAAGTTTCATAAAAGGGACTTATTTTGATGCAAATAACGCTGAGAGTCCAGTGTTTACGTCATTGATGTTTCCAAAAGGAGTTCTGCGCACAAGGTGCTGCAGAGATCTGAAGAAAGGATAACCGGTTGGCGAACCATCTGGTAAATAGATTTAATAGGGGCAACGTTCCCACCCAAATCTCTGATCTTGTCCTAGGTCTGTCGGACCGAATGCCATATCGCGTTGCCATGCGACAGAATCACAGCTCTCCTATTGATTGGCGATGAATGTTGAGCGGCAAGAGCTTAGTTCAAACGGTTAAACAAATCAGATCTGCTGACTACGATTTGATCTCGTTTGAGTGACTCAAATTTAAGTATGCTTACTATATGCCACCTAACACAAGACCTTTTGGGCTATGCGCCTGAATTAAGCGCAGAAACTGATGTCTGGTCCGTGGAAAGTCACCTACGTTTGCGCTTGTTATAAAGTGAAGGATCTAGTAGTCATCTCAAATGTAAATTCGACAAGGGAGGGGTTCGCTTTCATGTCCGTTTAGCAAAAAGATACAGATTGTTGAAGGTCGGGCTTCGTTTTCTATCGAAAGTTGGCGTGAGAATCAAGCTTCTTGTCAACTGAACCCCCACCTGATAATTCCTCGATGGTCTGACAGCGTACAGCGACGAGCAGGACTGCCTTCAGATTTCATGTCTCACATTTTGCAAGACCCAATCTAGGAAAAGAAATTTACATGAAAATCTCAAAGGCAAAACCGAACTGATTTACTAAGACAGCAGTCAGCTTAATGTGTCGGATTTGGTGGATTACAGATGTTGCGGTAGGTTGGGAGGGTAACTAAACTCGAGTGTGATTAAACTTACGTCTTCTGATGGGGCTTCGTAGCTCAGGTGGCTAGAGCGTTGGCTGTACTAAGGCCAACCCCAACTGTCATGAGTTTGAGTCCCACCGGGTTGGGTCAGTATCAATAATTCAAAATCTGCCATGACATTAATGGAAAACATAGAGTAGGTGGGCTAACTCGTGAAATGTCAACTAAAATTCCGGAACGCGCTTGCGTTTCGATAAGGTTAATTAAGTAGGGCTGCAAAACCTAGAAAATCATGTCTTCTTACGATTTTATTCGCGAAGGAAAACTATAGTTCCGTCTTGACAAAGTTTCTAATTGTGAGATTTCTTAAAACCGTCAAATGGCCGTTCATAACACGTCATGCTTCTGCATTTAACAACAGGGCTTGTTAAGTTAGCAATAGGGTTCTAGAGCGGGGTTAGCAACTGTGGCCGGCCCCCGTCACTGCTCCGCCCACCGTCCTAATTTCGGGACTCTGGCGACGCGGCCTCACGCGGCGTCGTCACGACGGCTCCTGGCCCTAATCCACGTCACCGTACCCTCCGCCCACACCCTAGACGCATTAACCTGCAGTCGCTCGAATGGCTTCAGCACGCATATGCAAACGTTCGTCTAGACAATCACTGTAATCCCTGCATCACGTGATTTAACACAACCAGCTTGAACACTGGCAAACGTGTCCTGGCACTAAAGCATGCATAGATGCAGACAAAAGCATTTTCTCTACCTCTACGGCATGACTTAACCCCGACCGTGCCAGCGGGCACTGACACCTGAGATACTGCCTCCCCTCCGTGACCTGCATAGAATAAGTGTCTCACAAACGCCTGCTATTTATGAGATTTTTTAAGACCACTCAATGCCCATTAATACAACAGCGTACATCTCCTTTTGTCATTGCTCCTCATGAAATGTACAACATGGTCCGCATCCATTGCGAAATCGTATCGAATCTATCTGGTATCTGTTTAAAGGCATAGAAGAATATATGATTCTGCTTGAGCGGAACGCATGCACCTTGTAGACTGAAATAACTAAATCCTAATGCAACGGCTAATCAGGCTCCAAATTATTCGGGAATTGAAAAAAATTCTTAAAACCTAATAACACACCGTCTTCGAGTATAAAATATGAAGACAACGTAATTTTACATCAAACGAGTAAAGGAAAACATACATACTTTTGTTCATGTTTTTTATAAATTATATCTGAATATCTAAGACCACCGCAAATCAATGGGAAAAATGCATGCTACTTAATAGTCATTTTTCACCGAGTGAGGTTACGATTGAAGACAGAAGACGAGTGCAATCAAAGGCAGACATCTTGCAGAGTCCGACATATGAGGGGATTATGCCGCATGAAAATATGTATGAGAACCCCACTTACGTCATCCTTCATAGTCGGAAACGCATTTTGGGATTTCGGCTAACATTTCATGAGATCGGTCAATCACTGTACCTCACATCCGCCTGCTAAACGAGACTCAGCCTGCCGACTGCAACGCACCATTTCCTGATCCCTGCACAATGTATAGACTGCTGCCGAGATTAGGAAATCAGGTTAGCAAACGTAAGAGATCAGGGTCGATAATCTGAGAAAAGTGAATTGCCCACCGGATCAAGAGGATTGCATTGCTGATGTCTCGGAGAGCTTGGAGGGCTCTCCATTATCGAAGCGGTAAGTGCAAAAAATCTGACAGAATTTTGAGAAGACGGTCGAATTAGTTGGACTTGGGCTGATCGATGTTTTTCTTCGCTGCCTTTGCCTACTGGCGGTCGTTTGTGAATGCTGGTGGACTCCTGTGTTGTGTGAGGTCATCTCAATTGGGGTCGGTTGTTACTGTGTTCCCCTTTTTGGTGAATTAGTGGACGGGCTGAGCTTGCCCTGTACTATTGAGTTCCGTGTGATCGTCTTGTCCTGGACTCAGAGAAACATGAGACCTCATCTTCGAAATAACTGAAAGTCAACAAAAAAGTCAGTAAAGACTGTGACTTCGAGCAAAACGAATACATGCTCCAATACGTTACCGTTTCAAGGAGCGCCGTAATAATGCGTTTCGTAAAATGAAGTGCAAAACATAGTCCGTAACCTTTGCAAAAGTCTATAGACTCTATATCATATATTTTTAAAGACATAGAAGAACATGTGATTTTCTTCAGGCGGAACGCATGCACCTTGTAAACTGAAATCATTAGGCGTTAATGCAACGACCGATCAGGCTCCAAATAATTCGTTAAATAGAAAATTTTCCAAACTTAATGATACAACTTTTGCGTATAAAATATAAACATGACGTGATTCTCTATCAAATGACTGAACGAAAGCATATTTTTGTTCGTGCTTTATATAAAATATATTTGAATTTGCAAGACCATCAAAAATCCCTTGGTAAGGTGCGTGCTACTTAAGCAGTCGCTCTTTTACCATATATGGTTTCTACAGGAGATTGAGAAGCAGTATATTCAAAAGCTGACATCCTGTGGAGTCGGAAATATCATTGGATTAGGCCACAAGATAATCAATATTATAACCGCGACTAAGTAATCCTTCCAAATCAAAACCGCATTTCAAAATTTCAGTCAACATTTCATGAGATCGGTCACTCACTGTAAATGCTTTACCTCGGGGCTTTAACTGGTGTTTCGATGGTCTCCTTGACAGCGTGAGGCATCTTCTGGGATCTGATTTCGTCAGAGAGTCCCTCAACCGTCCCCATTTGGCTTCCAGTATAGCTCTGGTTCACAAGGCATGTAACAAGTACAAGTACTGACATCGGCCGGCAGAAACTTTGGAATATGGTAGAGGGACGCTCACCGATCCTTCTTACGGAATTCACTCGTCCCGTTGTGCCTTACTTGCTCTCTCTCGAGCCCAACTAGCAGCTGCACAGCGACGCATGGCATAGGCAGGATGTTATGGATTATGTACTGAAATAGCCCACATTCCCCTTCTCTGCTTACGTAATCAGTTTAGCAAAACATGTCAGGCCTTCCGATGAGGTACCTCCAAATGCGAACGGACTCCGTAACTTAGAGTAAGCATGCTCGCCCATTTCCGAAGTGTGCTAAGGATGTGGAAGAGAAACTTTTTCAAATCTGACCGAGGAGATGTGCTGCACACTGCGCAAAGCTCTTCTCACCTCCATTTAACAGCAACCAGTTTACTGATGATATACTGAATGTTGACCAAAGATCTGTGCCTCATTCAGTTCGTGTACTTTCACAAATTAACGTTTCTCAGACGACAGGACCTTTCTCGTTTTTGGTACTCCCGCCATCCTGAAATAAATACTAATTTCGTACCGACGTGATACCGCTCCTATTATGTCTTTCGTGTTCAAATAAGTATTTTGATGGGACAACCTTGACCGATTTTGAGGTATTGGGAACCTTTAGTGAATACAACCAAGTTTACACTTCCGCATTGCTAACTGTTACCTGTTAAACTACTGACAAATGTTGCCTTGGGAAGTGTAAAATGATAGTGCAGGTAGAGTTGGGCGTCGGAATTGATAGACTGCACAAATTGTGGTTTTTCAACTCCCTGATCGACACTTATGGCACTGAATCTCTACTCGAGGCCCTAGACCGTACAATCCCCGAGTTAAGATTGACATTAAGAGAGTGAAACCATAGGCGTGCTTTTCAGCATGTTGAAAGTAAACTATTTTTTTCATTTTTAAACAGTCATAGTGTCCTCCCTTCGCTGTTGGATAGAAAATTACTGTGGAAACCTCCCGAAATTCCTCAATTTCTTTTGCAATATAATAGTTAAAAGATAGAAAGGTGCTATCAATAAAAACCTGGAACGACCAGCTGAGGCTTATCTGTCACTAAGACCTACCCACCGGACAGATCTAAGCAAGAGGAATCTGCTGATGGAACGCAGGCTCTTTGGTTGATCCACCAAAGTCTGTATGGTCTGGCATAGACAGTCTGCCAACCGCAGCAGGGAATATTGCTAGTCCGCAAGAGTGCCGTTCAACTTGTCGCCAAAGGAGCTGACGGAGGAACAAATGCAGGTATTACGGCATGAGGCCTCATTCAACACAGCCGATTCAAAACCTGCCAACATGAGTCCAGCAGTGGAATCAATCATCAGCCAGACGGAAGCGACAGAAGAAAGGAAGGACATCATTTGACACCAAGTATCTTCCCTCCTCATGGCTCATAGGCCGTGCGACGTGCTTTCCAAGGTCGAGCGCCGTGCACTTAGGGACCTCAGGGCCGAGAACGACCTCGTTATCGTGCCTGCGGACAAGGGGTGTTCCACGGTGTTATTGGGCAGGACAGTCTACGATCAGAATGTCAAAAAATTGTTGGAGGATCGTCAGTCCTATGTCCCATACGAATCTAACCCCATACAAACGCTGACACGCGAGATTAACGTGGAACTGTTAGCAATGGAGAACTCAGGTGCAATAACGCCAATTAAGCGACGCATGGCGAGAGCACAAAAAACGACCCTAGCCCGATTCTACGCTCTCCCAAAAGTACACAAAGTGGGCGCTCCTCTCCGGCCAATCGTATCACTAAATGACACTCCAACCTAGGGACTGGCAAAGTGGCTGTTCCAACGTCTCAAGTTTTTGACCTCCGATGCAAACACCACAGTCACCTCGTCAACGCAATTCTTGGAGAAACTTAAAGGAGTAAGTCTCCTGCGAAGCGATATCATGGTTTCATTTGATGTCACGTCCCTTTTTACTTCTGTCCCGCAGGACCTGGCAGTCGACGCCATCGAACTACGCCTACGGGAGAAAAACGACGAGACGGAGAATCTTCTCGGACAAGCCCAAATAATTCAGCTACCGAAATTCTGTCTCAAGACGCACTTTACGTTCGACGGAACAATTTACGAGCAGGTGAAGGGAACGCCAATGGGATCGCCGATTTCGGGACTCATAGCCGAGGCGGTCCTTCAACGGCTGCAGTCGGTGGTTTTCCGACACCACAGACCGAAATTCTGGGCTCGGTATTTGGATGATACCTTCGTCGTCATCGAATGGATTCAGGTGCTGACATTCAAAGAACATCTCAACGCCGTCTTCCCGGACATTCAATTTAGGATGGAGGTGGAGGAGAACAATCAGCTGGCCTTCCTGGATGTCCTCATCTTCCGCAAAGATGCTAGTGGCCCAAAAGCCAAAGTTTTCAGGAAAGCGACAAATACGACGCCAATACTGAACTTCAACAGCAGCCACCCGATCAGTCACTATCGAAATTGTGTATGGGCGCCATTCCGGCGCCTTGACACGCACTGAAGTGAAATGGAAGACAAGATTGCTGAATTACAATATTTTCGACGGGTAATGAGCTCCATTGGTTACCCGCGCAACTTTGTCAACCAGTGCATACGAAAACAGCACCAGAGACCAAATCCAACCGGCCGCCAATTTTGGCGGGCTCTTCCGTACGTGAAGAACGTCTCGGAAGCCGTCAGTCGTCTTCTCACTCTACTTGGAACTGGGGTTGTGCACAGGCCGGAGGCAACCATTAGGCGCCAAGTCATGAGACCGAAAGACCCGCTGCCACGGCAGGAAACCTCTGGAGTCGTTTACCAGATCTGGTGTAGTTGCGGAAAAAGCAACTATGTCGGAGAAACTGGGAGATTAATCCGTACGCGAATTGTCTAGCATGCAGCAGCATTGAGGCGGGGAGACGCTAGCTCTCAAGTGGCGGCACATTTGACGGGACCCGGCCATATTTTCAAATTTCAAGAGGCCGAAATCCTCGCAAGGGGTAAAAACCGCGTAAGCCACGAGCTGTTTGAGTCATGGTTCTCAGGTTCGCAATCCATCAACAAGCACAATGACCTCAGCTGGACTCATGTTGGCAGGTTTTGAATCGGCTGTGTTGAATGAGGCCTCATGCCGTAATACCTGCATTTGTTCCTCCGTCAGCTCCTTTGGCGACAAGTTGAACGGCACTCTTGCGGACTAGCAATATTCCCTGCTGCGGTTGGCAGACTGTCTATGCCAGACCATACAGACTTTGGTGGATCAACCAAAGAGCCTGCGTTCCATCAGCAGATTCCTCTTGCTTAGATCTGTCCGGTGGGTAGGTCTTAGTGACAGATAAGCCTCAGCTGGTCGTTCCAGGTTTTTATTGATAGCACCTTTCTATCTTTTAACTATTATATTGCAAAAGAAATTGAGGAATTTCGGGAGGTTTCCACAGTAATTTTCTATCCAACAGCGAAGGGAGGACACTATGACTGTTTAAAAATGAAAAAAATAGTTTACTTTCAACATGCTGAAAAGCACGCCTATGGTTTCACTCTCTTAATGTCAATCTTAACTCGGGGATTGTACGGTCTAGGGCCTCGAGTAGAGATTCAGTGCCATAAGTGTCGATCAGGGAGTTGAAAAACCACAATTTGTGCAGTCTATCAATTCCGACGCCCAACTCTACCTGCACTATCATTTTACACTTCCCAAGGCAACATTTGTCAGTAGTTTAACAGGTAACAGTTAGCAATGCGGAAGTGTAAACTTGGTTGTATTCACTAAAGGTTCCCAATACCTCAAAATCGGTCAAGGTTGTCCCATCAAAATACTTATTTGAACACGAAAGACATAATAGGAGCGGTATCACGTCGGTACGAAATTAGTATTTATTTCAGGATGGCGGGAGTACCAAAAACGAGAAAGGTCCTGTCGTCTGAGAAACGTTAATTTGTGAAAGTACACGAACTGAATGAGGCACAGATCTTTGGTCAACATTCAGTATATCATCAGTAAACTGGTTGCTGTTAAATGGAGGTGAGAAGAGCTTTGCGCAGTGTGCAGCACATCTCCTCGGTCAGATTGGAAAAAGTTACTCTTCCACATCCTTAGCACACTTCGGAAATGGGCAAGCATGCTTACTCTAAGTTACGAGGTCCGTTCGCATTTGGAGGTACCTCATCAGAAGGCCTGACATGTTCTGCTAAACTGATTACGTAAGCAGAGAAGGGGAATGTGGGCTATTTCAGTAGATAGTCCAGAACATACCGCCTATGTCATGCGCCACTGTGCAGTTGCTAGTTGGGCTCGAGAGAGAGCCAGTAAGGCACAACGGGACGAGTGAATTCCGTAAGAAGGATCGGTGAGCGTCCCTCTACCATATTCCAAAGTTTCTGCCGGCCGATGTCAGTACTTGTACTTGTTACATGCCTTGTGAACCAGAGCAATACTGGAAGCCAAATGGGGACGGTTGAGGGACTCTCTGACGAAATCAGATCCCAGCAGATGCCTCAGGCTGTCAAGGAGACCATCGAAATACCAGTTAAAGCCCCGATGTAATGCATTTACAGTGAGTGACCGATCTCATGAAATGTTGGCTGAAATTTTGAAATGCGGTTTTGATTTGGAAGGATTACTTAGTCACTGTTGTAATATTGATGATCTTGTGGCCTAATCCAATGATATTTCCGACTCCACAGGATGTCAGCTATTGAATATACTTCTTCTCAATCTCCTGTAGAAACCGTACATGGTAAAAGAGCGACTGCTTAAGTAGCACGCACCTTACCAATGGATTGTTGATGGTCTTGCAAATTCAAATATATTTTATAGAAACCACGAACAAAAATATGCTTTCTTTCAGTCATTTTTTAGAGAATCACGTCATGTTTATATTTTATACTCAATAGTTGTATCATTAAGTTTTGAAAACTTTTCTATTTAACGAATAATTTGGAGCCTGATGGGTCGTTGCATTAACGCCCAATGATTTCAGTTTACAAGGTGCATGCGTTCCGCCTGAAGAAAATCACATGTTCTTCTATATCTTTAAAAAGATATGATATAGAGTCTATAGACTTTTGCAAAGGTTACGGACTATGTTTTGCACTTCATTTTACGAAACGCATTATTACGGCGCTCCTTGAAACGGTAACGCATTGGAGCATGTATTCGTTTTGCTCGAAGTCACAGTCCTTACCGACTTTTTCGTTGACTTTCTGTTATTTCGAAGATGAGGTCTCATGTTTCTCTGAGTCCAGGACAAGGCGATCACACGGAACTCAATAGTACAGGGCAAGCTCAGCCCGTCCACTAATTCACCCAAATGGAGAGCACAGTCGCAACCGACCCCAATTGAGATGACCTCATACCAAACAGGAGTCCACCAACATTCACAAACGACCGCCAGTAGGCAAAGGCAGCGAAGAAAAACATCGATCAGCCCAAGCCCAACTAATTCGGCCGTCTACGCAAAATTCTGTCAGATTTTTTGCACTTAACGCATCGATAATGGGGAGCCCTCCAAGCTCTCCGAGACATCAGCAATGCAATCCTCTTGATCCGGTGGGCAATTCACTTTTCTCAGATTACCGACCCTGATCTCTTACGTTTGCTAACCTCATTTCCTAATCTCGGCAGCAGCCCATGGATTGTGCAGGGATCAGGAAATGGTACGTTGCAGTCGGCAGACTGAGTCTCGTTTAGCAGGCCGATGTGAGGTACAGTGATTGGTCGATCTCATGAAAAGTTAGCTGAAATCTCAAAATGCGTTTTAGACTATGAAGGATCACTTACATGGACTTCTCATACATATTTTCATGCGGCATAATCCCATAATATGTCGGACTCTACAAGATGTCTGCTTTTGATTGCACTCCTCTTCGGTCTTCAATCGTTACCTCACTCGGTGAAAAATGACTATTAAGTAGCATGCATCTTCCACATTGATTTTTGATGGTCTTATAAATTCAAGTATTTTTTATAAAAAACATAAACAAAAATATGCCTTCTTTTACCCGTTTGATGGAAAATTACGTTGTCTTCATATTTTATACTCAAAGACAATGTGTTCTTAGGCTTTAAGAATTTTTTTCAATTCCCGAATAATTTGGAGCCTGATTAGCCGTTGCATTAGCATTTAGTTATTTCTGTCTACAAGGTGCATGCGTTCCGCTCAAGCAGAATCATATATTCTTCTATGCCTTTAAACAGATACCATATAGATTCGATACAATTTCGCAATGGATGCGGACCATGTTGTACATTTCATGAGGAGCAATGACAAAAGGAGATGTACGCTGTTGTATTAATGGGCATTGAGTGGTCTTAAAAAATCTCATAAATAGCAGGCGTTTGTGAGACACTTATTCTGTGCAGGTCACGGAGGGGAGGCAGTATCTCAGGTGCCAGTGCCCGCTGGCACGGTCGGGGTTAAGTCACGCCGAAGAGGTAGAGAAGATGCTTTCGTCTGCATCTATGCATGCTTTAGTGCCAGGACACGTTTGCCAGTGTTCAAGCTGGTTGTATTAAATCACGTGATGCAGGGATGACAGTGATTGTCTAGACGAACGTTTGCATATGCGTGCTGAAGCCATTCGAGCGACTGCAGGTTAATGCGTCTAGGGTGTGGGCGGAGGGTACGGTGACGTGGATTAGGGCCAGGAGCCGTCGTGACGACGCCGCGTGAGACCGCGGCGCCAGATTCCCGAAATTAGGACGGTGGGCGGAGCAGTGACGGGGCCGGCCACAGTTGCTAACCCCGCTCCAGAACCCAAGTTATGCACTGCAGTTCTAATCAGATTATTCAAAGTCACTCAGAAACTTACTTCAACCCTTTTTTGACCCTCGTGTTCATCGCCGTTCCGATAAGAAATGATCTGGAATCGGTATGCCTTGTAAACGTGGTGGAAAACTACTAAAAGTCCGATGCACGTGGGTCGAAATGACATTATCCTAAGGCTAGGCCGTAAGGGATTTTTATTCGAGTACTACCGAACACCGAAAGGTGCACAATCGAAGAGTGCATGAAGCGAAGACTGGACTTTTCGCTCTCATTTTCGGTGCAACTATTGTTACTGACATTTCGCTGGCCTGCAACCAACTGCCGTCGGGGGAGGAATATACAAAGTCCACTTTAAACATCGACAAAATTCAATTATATTACATGGAATACATTCATGCTAATATTATTTTTTTGATGGTTCGGTAGAAAATTGCGTCCTCTTCCAATTTCATACCCGAAGGAAGGGTATCATTCAGTTATAGATAACTTTTCCAATTATCGAATAATTTTGAACGCGACCTGCCGTAACACTTGCGTTCAGGGGTTCCAAACTACAAGCCGTATATTTTCCGCGTACGGAAAACTACACAATTCTCTACGGTATTCGAGAATAAAATCGTAAGAAGACATGATTTTCTAAGTTTTACAGCCCTACCAAATAATCTTCTCGAAATGCAAGCGCATTCCGGAATTTAAGTTGACATTTCACGAGTTAGCCCACCTACTCTATGTTTTCCATAAATGTCTTGTCAGA